GAGTCGATAGAAATGTATGGAGTATATATTAAACCACTATCTAATTTCTCTTCGATGAAGTGTCTATCAACTTCAATATATTTGATTTTGTCATGTTATACCAAACGATACTTATTGTCAATTTGTTGTTATAGTATAAGTGCATGAGACTATTCCACTTAATTCTTAGATTTTTTAACATTCTCTTTAGACAAATAACTCACATATCCTTGGGCTATTGCTTGGAACTCTAGTTACGTCCTCAACTTTGTAACCACATTCTACTTCTTACTCCTCCAAATGACAAAGTTACCCTTGAGTAAGATACAGCAATTTATGGTAAATCTTCTGTCCACCATTAACTCTGCATAGTCTGCATCCAAATAAACTTTTAGAAGTTAGAAGCAACATGTTATTCTTTTTGAACATGATCTATTTTCCGAGTGCCCCTTTTAGATAATGTAGCACTCTATAAGTTGTCTATAAGCACAGCTCCTTAGGATTGTACATGAACTGACTTATAACACTCACTGCATAAACAATCTCCGATCTTGTATAATAGGCATATTAATTTTTTAACTAATCTTTTATATCTCTCTTTATCTACCGACGTATCCTCTTCCACCTAGTCCCAGTTTATGGTTGGAATCGATAGAAGTAGTAATTGGTTTACACGTTAATTTATTAATATCTTTTAACAGGTCATGAATGTATTTTTGTTAGAAAATGAAGATTCCTAACTTTGAGTAGGTGAGTTCAATTCCAAGGAATTAATTCAAATTTTGTAACTCATTGATATTGAACTCTTTTGTCAAACATTATTTGAACATCAGTTTCTTTTTTTCGTCGTCCCTATTATAATAATATTATCAACATATATTTGGAAAATTGTAACACCTAATTATGTAATGCGGGGAGCTCGAGGATCAAGAAAACTTTGATCATGAATCCACTATACTTAGCATACACAAACTTAATTGCCTAAATTAAACCCTCCCTACTTGAATCACAATCAATAAAATGAAAACTATCAAGGTAACTGAAAAAAAAAAAAAAAAAAAAAAAAAAATTGAAAAGACGCCGCAACCTACCCAATAAGTCAATTCAAGATTCCCTGACTCAATAAGATGGTTGAAGTAACCTCCCTTGAAAAACACTCTTTCAAAATTAGCAAAGCTAATTTAGAAACAACTGAATAAGTTTTTTGATCAAATGAATTGTAAATTACAACATAAGGTGAGGTATTTATATAACCTTTCACCAGATAAATTCTAAATAAATACAATCACTTGTATTTAATTAAAACTATAATAAAAATCTAATCTTAGGACTAAAATACTTTTCAAATAATTAATAAAAAAAATATCTTATCATAGTCTTAAACTAGAGTTAATTAATTAAATACTCAATAAAATAATTAAAGATAGATAATCTTTCTCTCCTTAGCCAATTGAACTTGAATTGCTCCTTGAGTGTAATTCTTCCTCTTGCTGCAATTTATCCATGTGAAAATTAAGTGGAAAAAAGTGCCCTTCTTGTTTTAGAACTCAACCCACGCCGGCAAGCCTTCGAGATTGTCTTGTCGTGGGTTTGCTTTGTTTTAGGACTCGTCCAATCGCTTCTCACTTCATGTAGAGTCCTAGTGATTTGATCTTCATCCCTTGCTGCAAGTTGAAGAGGAAACAACCTCAAGAATCTAAATCACAAAAGGAGAAGGAAGCGGGTGAGTGTTGTCCTCATGCGTGGGACATTCCCGCGGGTGCAGGTTCCCCTTCTTGTGCATGTGCAGCCCCGCACATGGGTGCAAGGTGACAGGCTTGCGCAACCTCCTCTAGCTGAAGGCCCTCTTGACCAAGAGCCCTTGGGCTTGCTCCGCTTTGGGCCTTTAAAGGCTCATGCACCCTGGACTCCTTTATGAGCTCTCAGGTTGGGCTTTTGTGAGCCCCTTTTGTTTGGGTTTCTGGATCGAGACTAAGAGCCTCCTTACCTCGTGTAAACTCCCTTTGAGTGGGTCTTAATGTGCTTCCTTGGATGGATTTGAAGCTGAGCCTAATCTAAATTGTTTGGGTCCACCGAACTTCTCCTCTCTTTGGGCTTTAAACTGACAGGAAGCCTTTTCAAGACAAGCTTCCTCCTCTTCATGGCCATGATCCTTCCCTTGAAGCGCAGGCGCTTCCTTGGCATTGACCACATGCGTGTATGGCGCGGGCTGCCATGGATGTGCGCTCGCGGCATGCTTGTCATGTGCGTGCGCGGCATGCATGCCACTTACGGGTTGCACCTTGCCCGAGTTGCCGCTTGTTCGTGGGTATCAATCCTGCGGAAATCCTGAACTCTACAGGTTTCCTGCCTCTCGCGATACTTGCCTTCTGGGATTAATTTGGGCCCTTCAAGATCACATCATCTCCCGCTTCTTCAAAAAGATTTATCCCTTGAATCTGGGGCTCCGTCACATTGCTTTT